GTTGTTTTGTGGGTAATGGCTCTTGGTATGCATACCCTGCATTGTTGCTACGTAAACTTCTTAGCCTGCATGCAACTGTTTTCATGTTGATATACCTTGGGGTCTGGAGCCAGATCAACTTGTTTGAAGGCCATCCAACAATGGTGAGCTTTCAACCAAGACAACCTTTCAACATATTAAGAATCCAGCGCAACATTGTGCTTGGGCGAAGGTCGTCTAGGCCAATTTCTTCCCACCTGCGTGTTCCTGCATTATGCGGAGGATGCTACATCATAAACTACCCATAGATGAAAACCTAAGTGCTAAGGGTTTGATGATGGTGTCCATGCGTAGTCTTTGCGGGATAGCTATCGAATCTTCCCAGCATCTATTTCTCAAGTGTACTTTTGCACAATCTTTACGGTTGTGGCTCTAGAATATTATTCAGCAGCCTATTGATTTATCATTTATGCATAGTTTGTTGGGTTTTCTGGATTGTAATTGGAGTACGCAAGTTAGAGAGGCTCTAATTTCGGTATTGATGCATGTCATTTGATTGATTTGACTTCAAAGAAACGGTGTAAGAATTAGAAATAAAGACTTCAGCTTTCAACACTATATCAATGATAATCTCTGAGGTGGCGTTATCTAACTCATTTATCAAAGGGCATATTTCACACTCTTGGAGTGATGTATGTATACTAAAAGAATTTCTAGTCACTATTCGCCCTCCAAAACCCCTCATTGTCAAGCTGGTAGATTGACACCCTTTAGCTTGCGGCCTTTTTTGTGATCACACTAGAGCTTTTTTTGGGGGTTTTTATAACTTTTCTTGGTACTAATGATGCATTCTATGCTGAACTCATAACAATCACATGGGCAATCGAATATGCATATGATAGAGTGGCATAATTTTTTGCCAGAATGTGATTTGAACCTGGTTCTAGCAACTTTTAAGAATGTTCTAATTATTCTTTGGATTATTTGCAATAGATGGCAATGATGCCTCCAATTATGTTCACATATGAACTTCTTTTCATCTCATATATATATAGGAAGGACAATAATTAGACCGACAAATTAGTGTTTTATAGGTTAGGATAATAACTTAATATTAACAATAATAGCTTGGTGATGTCGATAACAATGACATAAATATTACTATTATTATTATTTATATTGTTGTCATTGCTACAATCAAATTTTTTTTAATATTTTTTTTTTTATCTTATTAAGTTATTTATTTTTTGTCCTCACCTTACTTTGACAAAAATAAAATATTAAAAATAATTTCGAAGAGAATTCCAAAGTAAATAATATTTATTAATTAAAATAATTGTGATCAATACATTTCTTTTCTTGAATAAATTATACTCATACTCTTTATATTTTACTATTTACACTAACCTCCCTTATACTAGTTATAGTATAGTATTTTTTAAAAAATAATTAAGGACGTGTATACTATATATAAAAAAAATAATTAAAATAAAGGGATATCAACTTTACATGATTAGTTAATTATACATAATATTTTTTATGCACAACGGCTGTAAATAAAGTGACATGGATTAAATTTGAAGATCTTGAATGACTATATATGTTAAGCAACTGACTCCAAGATTTTTGAATCCCAAACTCCTTCATTTTCCATATGGGTAAGTGGATTTTATTGTGATCATGGAGAAAAAGACTGAAACAATCTTCCAGAATCCCAAAACATAGATTGTGATAAAAGTTGTATTTATATGTTATGAAGTAAAAATCATGTATGTGGACTCCATCAAGACGAGGAGGCAGTAAGAATTGTGTGTATATCTTGGTACGAAGATGAAGTGAAAGAAGCACAAAATCTCTAAAGTAAAGGTATGGAGTATGGGGAAGTTGTAAGGCTAGCCAACTAAAAGCGTTATACTCCTCGAATTTCGAACTTGCACTGGAAGGGATACTTTGAATGTCTCTCCAGCCATTATATGCTTATGTTGTAAACTAAAGATTTCAGTGAATCATCATTGTTAGAAAGGAGTGTTACCACCTTATAAGTATCCCTCCAGTTATCATAGCCAAACCCAAAAGATAATGGACGATAGCTTTGAGAAAGGACAAAACCAAATGATCCTCGCGAAACTTAGATCGGAGATGAAAGATTGAAACGACTGGCTCACTCACCTGCCATGATCAACACACAGGATTGCTGCAGGTGCCACGATGAGAGGATACCATTATATGCCAAATTCTCAATCACTGCTTTATAACCTAATAGGAATTATATCATATGATTTATTATTTTATTTAGAGAAATATAGGATATTATCATAGATAATCGGGTGTATCTCGGAGATTCCTGTATCACCGATTTTAAACTTTAAAGGGTCGGTTGAATTGATTTTTTTTTAAACCAATACGAATAGATTTAGTTTTAGTAAATTTTTCAAAAATATTTTACAGGCTAATTCTAATATTTCTCATCTAATTGTTTATTATATATAATTAAATATTATATAAATAATATAATATATTTAAAATTTGTATAAATGAATAGTTTTAAATCATAAATTACATTTGATTTAAGATAATTCAATTATTGATAATTTTTTACAAAAATAATAAATTTTAATTCATAAATAAATAAATTTTTAAAAAAAAATTATATATCCTCCCGCCTTAGAAATTGATTCAATCTTATTATTATTAAATATTAATTACCATGTAACTTAATATTAAATAAATAAATATTTTATAAGAAGACAGATATGGTAGATTCTATAAAATTAGAAGTTTAATTATAAAATTAAAAATTAAAAAACCAAAATTAAGAAATAAATATTTAAAAAAAATCAAAAGTACAATTTTGTGTGTATATATAAAAAATTTTTGACGTAAGTATATCACACAACCATAAGACATCACTACATTCATTTTTTTCTTAAATATAACTAGATTTTTATTTTATTAAAATATATAAAAGTTATACAGTCTTTTGTGTAGACTGTTCTACATGGCGTTTTTATCCATGAAACTATCCTTAAATTTTGCACTTTCCATTATATATAAATCACCCAATATTTTGTAACTTTTTATTTCTGTGAAAATGAAGCACCATAGTCCATACAGATTGAGATGGGTTCAAATAACTTCTTCTTTAAAAATAAATAAACAAATAAAAGCACACAGTCACAAAATATCTCGCTAGTATTTATAATTATTTTAATCTACACGACTCATTATGACTATTTTATTATTTATTTATCAAATTAATTATACAAAAAATTATTTCGAAGTAAGTAATATAATAACTTGTATTTATTATTTTTAATAAATAAATAAAGATAAAATTGTTTCACAACTCTGCAATTGTTTATAACTCCATCGTTTTGATCTTCACGTCTCTATATTTATTTTTAAAAATATTTTTCTAAAAAAAAGTGGAAAAACAAAATTATTTAGAGAATAATAATGATTGATTAGGTAAATTATATGATTTCTATTTAATGAAATATAATAGTGAGAAAAAGATGATATGTAAGAATAGGGTAAAAATGTTAAAAAAAAAATAAAGATGAAAGGTAATTATCAAAATATTTATTATCTTATATACTAGAATATGACATGGGATGGAAATTTAGGAAATTAACATTATTTATTTGAGATTAACATTGTTTGTGAAATAATATTGTTTTTAGACTTTAAAAATTATAAGATTATATATTTAACATCTAAAATTACTTTAGAATAAGACTAAACAATATTACATCATATAATTTGATACATCTTTGCAATTATAAACCAACATAGTTCAAATGTATTTTTAAGATAAATACATCATTCAAATTTAGTTTCGTCTTACAACAACACATTTATAATTAATTGTTTATTAGAAGAAAAAAAACTCAAAAGTTAGGTCAATGCATTCATTTTCAAGGATGATATATATTGTACTCACAGATTGACTTAATACATTCTTAAATCTAAAGAAAATTCTAAATTGTAGTTTTTTTAAAATTAATAATAATATCTTCAGGAAAAAATATAAATGTTTTCAATATGAGTCTTCACTACAAGAAAACGGTGAATAAGCGGCAAAAAATAAGCGTCGGCTAATAGCTGACGTAAATAGTGTCGAAAGAGCTGACGCTATTTTAAAATGTAGTGTCAGTTTTCCCGACGCTAAACTTAAAATAAATTTAAATTAAATATTTTAAGTTTAACGTTGGAAAAGCTGACGTTATATTTAAAGAATATACGTACTTCGAAAGAGATAAAGATAATTTTTTCAATGTTATATACGCATAATGTATTCTAGTACACTTGGTTATCAAGTTTACTTAAGACCTCAAAGTTCATGGATCGAGTCCCATGAATGTTAAAAATACGAACGAATAAAATTAAAATAAATAAATTTGTTAGTAACGGCTTAGCTAACACAAAAAAAAATTGTGTTGACTTACAGTATTACGTCGGCTTTTGGTCAATTCTAAATTAAAACATTCTTGTATTGTTGAAAAAAAAATTATATCTTTTAAAGTGAGTTTTTAAGAATAAAAAAAAGTGACTTTTGATTTATAGATATTGAAAAAATTAAATAAATATTAATGCAAAATAATTTTTAGGATTGTTTACCTTTTTTTCTTTTATATATTTCAAAAACTTCACGGTTTATTTAACTGTTTTTTTATTTTTATTTTTAATAATTTTTTTTTGGAACAGATACATGTGATAATAATTAACCATGACCTTTTTTGTTAAAAAGAATCACTGCTTTTATAGTAATAAAAAATCATGATTCTATTTTTATATAAAAATAAATAATAAACTAATATAACTACAAATAAATATTGCTACAACATGATGGAAATATTATACGAGAATTTTCAAACATGAATAAACAATTTAATTAAAAAAAAACTATTATTTTTTATGCACAAATAGAATTCGTGATTTTTTTTTTATTGCAATAAAAGTTGTTGATTGTTTTGACATAAAATGTCATGATTATATGTATGTGTCTTTTTATCAAACATAAGTCAAGTTAAATAAATTTCTGAAAGTTTTATAAATGAATTAAAAAAATCATTACATACAGATACAGGTCCACTCCTGACCCTTTGTTTCATATATTAGAATTTATTTGCCGTTAAAGCAAACCTCGGCATGAATGCATGCATGATGATGGTATGTGATGATGGAAACATAAAATATTAGCTTTGTTCGTCAAACTGCATCCTCATTGTGCTCTGATTTGATTTTAAATTCGAATCATTTTTATTATTTTATTTGGTTTGCACATTTATGCTTTTTGCAGCGCCTATACTGCAACTGCGCACTGTTGCCATCTTTTGTCTCTGCGATGGAGGATCACAGACTTCCCATTTTTTCCTGATTTGATGCATTGTCACTATTGAAGCAATGCGTAGAGCGATCTCCTTTCTCGTTCAACCGCGATGCCTCCTTCTCTTCCTTGTTCTCTCAATTTTCTTGATTTTCGCAATATCTGGTTCCAAATGGGTATGCCCCTTTTCTTTGTTTATTATTTGCATTGTGAATTTCATTCGGATAACTGAACCGGGTTTCGAACAAATTGTTTGATCTGTCAAGTCATTGAATCTGGCACTGTAAGTCTAATGGGGTTGCATTTGGATTTCATTTCACTGATTGAATGCTCGGTTCCAATAGTTTTAGGAGCAAGTCAATTTCTTTCTTTACTTTTACTTTCTGATAGGAAGCAAATGCAATCAGATGTATGGCGCTCTGATCAAATTTTATCATGTTGTGGTAATTGCCGTAATTCTTTTACTGCTTGACGGGCACATGTATTCTTATTCTGTGATGATTTAGCTTGAGCCTTGATACTGCAGATTGTGTTGTTGCCTGCCTTTCCATAGTAATCCATCCCTTTCTTTATGTGGTAGATTGTTTAGCTAGCTTGGGGAACGGGGATGAGTCTTCAGATTGATAAATTGCGATGAGTGCAGATAGTAGAAGAAAATGTTAACATAGCAAACAATACTCACACAAAGGCATGCATTTAGATAAGCATAAAAGGAAATGGACTTTGGGAAGTTTTGAATTTGGTTTGCTTAAATTTGTAGTCAAGTTTGCCATTAAGAAAGAAAAAACAAATTATACTTGGGGGTAAACCAATGTTGCAAGCCTGGATGTGAAACTTGCGAGTCAACTTGCTAACTCGGATGAGTTTACATTTCCGCCCAAGAAAAACAACTTGAATTGCATAAATCTTTATGGTGAGCAGACTTGGGTGGAACAAGATATACATATATTAGATTGCCTAAACTTGTGAGTCCCTGGGTGAGTTTGAGAACCTTCTGGGTCACATTATTTTTTCCCATAGTGCAGCATTTTTGAGCCAGAAACTAGTATTATGAAACTCGGGCTGGACTATTTGGTCCAACCAATGAGCTAACCAGGTAAACAATTTGAGTAGCATATTTGATTGACTATGTAATTAAACTTGTGTGACCCAATTTGAATTGGTTTTAAGTTGAGTTGAACCATGTTAAATTGGTACCCTATTATAAGTCGAAACAATTTTAAATAGGTGGTTTAAACACTATTTTTATATTAGGTAAACTCTTGATAGCTTATGAGTTGACTCTGCAAAGTCTCAATGAATTTATATAAACTCTTTGGTATGACAACCTTGGTTATAGGAGTTATCTATATCCTTTCAAAATTTGATCCAGAGAAAGATGTCAGAATTAATCCCTTGTGTTTGTTTACTATTCAATCTTTTTATGATCACTTCTTACTCCTTTGTGTGTCCCAAATAAATCTGTCTGTTGTAATCAGAAGCTAATACTAGATAAAGATCTTGTCAGAGTCATACTAAAGACATCCGCAAGGATTTAACTAACAGCTTAAGTTTTTAAGAATGTTGGTTATTGATATCGTATTAGAGCCCATTTCAGACTTTGATCACCTGATCATGAGTTTGACTCTTGCAGCTCTCATTTTTCTAATAGAAAAGATTCATTTTAGTATGAGAGCAAGTAGGCTCTGTGTGTTGTTTACGCTTCAAACCATAGGACTATTGTGAAAGGGGGTGTGTTATAATAAAGTCATCATGAGCCATAACTTATCTTAAGCTTTTAGGATAGGTGTTAGGGAGTTTGTCATTGATATGGTATCAGAGACCAAATGTTAAGTTTGATATTTTCTTCCCTCTTTCTTCTAATGGAGAAAATGTTGAATTTCAGCTAAAAGTACAGTGGAAATGTGCTTGTCTATGCTTCAAGTTTGGAGGACTTGTTGATGAAGCATTAAGAGATATAGTAAAGCCATTCAACCTTAAAACATAAGCTTTAAGCAGAGTTGGTTCTTGAATCTTAATAGATTGAAACTTCGAAATACAAAGCAAGTTCTTCCCACCACCATACTATAGTAACTATACATACGCAGTAAGGGACTTAGAAATTTTGAGTAATGTAGACGATGAAGAAAGGAGTTAGAAATCTGAGGAATTGTTTTGATGAATGCTCTCATGGGACAAATGGTGTTGGATTTCTGATTGACTTTTTATCTATCCTTTAGTTGGAAAAAGTTAGTGGCATCAAAGTAAAGTAACTCAATAAACTTCTTTTGTGAGGAAAAAGTTTAAACAGTGTTGCAGAAAAACTAGTAAAACAGTAATATTGGTCAAGCCCCATTTCTGCTTTCTTCATAACCTGGTTTCATCGTTTTATGGCTGTACACTTTTATTAAAAAACTAGCTATAACCCTCACAATTTATAGGTGTTTTTGTAACAATCTATTTGAAAATTGTCGGTTAATTCATTTGTAAACTTTTTTCAGTTACAATTTCCATCTTTATTGATTGTTGTATTTTGTCAATATTAAAATTTACCTTTACTGATGTAGCTTGAAGAGAAAGAAGAAGAAAATCCTGAAATTACACACAGAGTATTCTTGGAGGTTGATATTGATGGACAACGATTAGGTTTGGAGCAAATTTTAGAAATTTTAACCAATTGTTCTCATCTGAACCAAATTGATTTACTAAATATTTTGGTTAGAAGGAGGATGTAGGCAGATAACATTAACAACTTATCATCTGCAATACACTAATTTCTGCAGGTAGGATTGTCATTGGATTGTATGGCCAAGTTGTACCAAAAACTGTGGGTATGTCATTGATTTCCTAATCCAATTCTTAAGTCTGTAACTTAGTTGCATTAAGTAGGAACTCAAAGTTCCCTTTCACGTGAATCAAGGGTGAGCAAACCCCTTAGTAGAAATTGTAAAGTTTGTGAGCTATCCTTTATGTCTAGAATTCAACCTTTTCAGTAAATTTAACACTTAAATCTGCCTGATGAAGCAACCTCGTTGGATATGATGTCATTTTTCGTAAGTTATGCTTATACTATCCTTGTGCATTGCAATTTTAATTGATTGAAATTCTTTTGCCTGCAGAAAACTTTAGAGCTTTGTGCACAGGTACTTGGAGTCTTCATATTTTGTTAATTTAACCCGCATCTTGTTTACGTACTGATTATGAGTGTTGCATGTTATTGTGTAGGGGAGAAAGGAAAGAGTGCCAG